CTTAGTAAAAGTTCATACTAATTTTGGCCAACAAATACTAATTTTTGAATCATTTTTTGACCAAAATACTAGTTGGGTTAAATTAGGGTTGGCATCTCTGTCTTGTGAATCAAACCAAATCCTTTCACGAAGTCAATTTGTTAGTCACGATCAGTAAAATTGGATATTCACAAATATCTCATTTTGATATGTAGCGTTGGGGTAGCCTAGTGGTTAAAGCGTTTGCTCGTCACACCGAGGCCTCAGGGTCGATTCCACACATGGGTAAAATGCATGAAACTCATTTCTGGTGTTCCTCGCCGTGATATTGCTGGAATATTGCTAAAAGCCGTGTAAAACCATACTCACTCACTCATTTTGATAAATAACACCCAAGTTCAAAAATATATATTTTTAATTTTATGTGTTATGGGTAAATGCGCTATATAAATGTTTAGTTAATTATTATTATTTATCAAAATGAGGTATTGCAAAATCTAACATATCCATGTCCTGCAAGACAAAAGCCAATACTCTTATATACCGGTACTCTTAAAAAAAGTAGGGGAACTTCATTTTTAATTTATGATTGAACAAAATGGGAGATATATTGGAGTCAATCAATGTTGATATGATAACAATGAATGTTTTGAGAGTGCATCACCACTTGCACTTCCTTATGACCATATGTGTTTGTACAGTAATCGCTCTTGAAAGATGCTTGGTGTATGACGTGAAATTTGCATGTGTGCGATTTTCATTTTCAAAACAAAAATCGGCTAGAAACACTAAGAACTGTGTGATTCAAGATAATTGTCAAAATTTATGGTTAACAATGATTTATTGACCTTCTTGAATACTGTCAAAATCAAGAATAACACCTCATTCATGTTTATAGGGCTACTGCGTTGATAAAGAGATATAAGATATCTGTCTTTGAAAAGTTTGTTCACACTTATACTTCCTGTCCAAATTGAAAGTGCAGGTTCTCCTACTTTTATGAAGAGTATATCTTCAGTTTGACACTGACAGTAATTTGGTCACTGGTCATTAATGGTATAAATTAACACTGTCAACATGGGTGAGTGAGTGAGTTTAGTTTTACGCCGCACTCAGCAATATTCCAGCTATATGGTGGCAGTCTGTAAATAATCGAGTCTGGACCAGACAGTCCAGTGATCAACAGCATGAGCATCAATCGGCGTAATTGGGAACATGTCAACCAAGCCAGCGAGCCTGACCACCCGATCCTGTTAGTCTCCTCTTTTGACAAGCATGGGTTACTGAAGGTTCATTCTAACCTGGACCTTCACGGGTTCTGTCAACATGGTCAAACACATATTTTGTTATTGTTTTACTGATTATAGTAAATAATACATAACTGATAACTCGTTTTTTTGTCACCCAGTATTAATGCTATGTATCATAATTGCCTTACAGTGGATTTGTTTTGTGCATAGTAAACTATTTTTAGCTAACTTTGTACAATGCCAGCATGAGATTAAGCTAATGTTGAGGCTCTGTACTCCATACCACAAAGCTGCACTTAAACTCAAAAGTCACATGAATCAGTATTGTAGTAAATATTAAATCGACTAGGTATTGTTTTTCAGTTTGAGTTTCTTTTCCCATGGATGTATGCAGCTGTGTTATATACAGAAACCATGCACCAGTGCATCCTTTTATTGAAAAATGCAAACTGATAATTATGTCTACATGCACCAAATCCATGTCAATATTTCAAATGTTTTACTAACCATAGAAGTCATCACAGCAACTATTGTTGAACATACTCTATTCCTCTCAGCTTCATGAACTATACATCATTAGATGATGATGGTGATGACAACATCAGTGATGATGACCATTTAGACAGATTTATTATGATTATGATAGTCTCAGACATACACAAAAGTGTACATGTCAGGGGTGGAAATAACTTTAAAATTGCTAGTGTACTCCGGTACAGTGGCACATGTAAAATCACTTGCCCTGATAAATTTTCCACTAGACCGGACGTTTTTTGTTGATTTTTTAAATAAACAACATAATTAACATTGGAAAGTCAACTGGACACCGGTACAGTGTGATATACAAATTTGCTTGCCCGACAGAAAAAATCACTGGACTCGGACGTCGGGCAATGGGTTATTTCCACCCCTGCATGTCATGGTTCGACTGAAAATTGTCTGGATTCTTGTAATGCCTGCCTGCACATTGTTGGCTTGCACATTTACAAAGGGAGGATATTGAATGTATTACATGATTACACTCTAGAAGATTGGAGAGTTGTATAAAAAGGGAGGTAACTCTTTCGCCTATCAATTAAAGGACCACTGGAAATAGCATTTGTGTTTTAGAATCCTTCATTTTCATTGGACTCTTATCAAAATAATGTTGCACCATGACTTTTCTTATGTCTGTATGGCCACTGATAATCACAAAAGAAAATGTTTGTTTCGATGAAAGTTTATATGAAAATTTAAGTTAAAGAAAATTTCAAGTAAAGATCTTATAGATCATGTTACTGTTCTGTGATTGTTGCAAATGTGTCTATATGGTTTGTTGAACAACTTGGCCAGCAGAGGCTTAAAGACTGTATTGACACCTTGTTTACAATATCCATGCATGTCAGTAGCTAATTATACACACAATGCGTTTTGCGGGGGGTATTAAAATGGTGTCTGTCCGTCCGTGTGTGCGTCACATTTGTCTTTTCCGGAGCATAACTCTAAAACCGTTCAATATTTTTCACCAAACTTGTCACATAAATAGATCTGGTGGTGAACTGGTGCCTTTTGGTAGTTTTGGTTTTCTGAATATAATATTTTTTACGTTTCCATGGCAACAAGTTTGACTTAGACTGAAATTGGTGGTAGTGCTCTTTTCCGGAGCAGAACTTTAAAACTGTTCACTGTTTCATCACCAAATTTCATACATAGGTAGGTCTAGTGGTGAACTGGTGCCTTTTGGTAGTTTTCGATTTCTGGAAAAAAAAAAAAAAATTGTGTGTTTCCATGGCAACAATTTTGACTTCAACTGAATTTGATGGTAGTGCTCCTTTCTGGAACAGAACTTTGAAACCTTTCAGTACTCTCCTTCCACTTAGCTATATACACGCCAACACATTTGACATACCGGTAGTCATAACTCATAGACATATTCATTAAGAGTATTTTGCCATTGCGGGGGATATTGATGACTTTGTCTTCTTGTTGACTCTTAGTGTTGGGAACTGAATGTAAACTCATCATTGACTATTGGATCCCCTAACTGTTTAATAATCAAAATTTCCACACATGGCTACATTGTGTGAAGCCCATGTCTGGTGTCCCCCACGGTGCTGTTGCTGGAATATTGCTCAAACTAAAGCGGTGTTAAACCAAACTAACTCACTCACTAATAATCAAAATAATTCTGTCTGTTTTTCAGTGTTATTATCATGATTATCATTGTCATATTCCGTAACCTTTTGGTATAAGCCGTTTGAATATCCATTCGTAACTACTCGCGTCATTCCGGGAAGCTGGATGGTGACTCACTCCCTCGTGGCCCTGTCTAAGCGCAAATGGGTATGGAGATAGTCTCGTACTACTGCCAAGGAAAGATAACCCTGAATTTCCAAACATGGCTCCTAGTATATCCTATATGCCGTGGGCAAAACAAAATAGCAATATAGTTCCCTATGTAAATAAGTTTCAGTGTTTAAAGTTTCTGATCCTTTAGCTCAAAGTTTATGTTTAAATTGTTTGTTAAAAGTTTCAAACTTCAATGGTGCCGCCATTTTCATGCTTCGAAATGCGTTCTATTACGAGCAATTTGATTGGTTTGCCACGATTCTTGGCAATAATGGCGTACAATAGGGGTACGAATCTTATTGTAGGTCACAGAAAGAGGCGAGTAGTTACGTATGTTTGAATATCATGTCTGTTCCTTCGACCTCTAGACCCGTGAAGGTCCGGGTTAGAATATTGGTTGATCTCCCAGTAACCCATGCTTGTCGTAAGAGGCGACTAACATGATCGGGTGGTCAGGCTCGCTGACTTGGTTGACACATGTCATCGGTTCCCAATTGCGCCGATTGATGCTCATGCTGTTGATCACTGGATTGTCTGGTCCAGACTTGATTATTTACAGACCGCCGCCATATAGCTGGAATATTGCTGAGTGTGGCGTAAAACTAAACTCACTCACTCCTTCTACCTCTGAAATCCAAGAGCAAGCATGTTGATCACATGTGTCATTAAACACTGCCTTTAGTCCATTAGGACAGATAAGAACTTCTGAGAGTGGGTTGAATTTTTTGTGTTTGATTTTGGAAAATTGCGTTTGATTGTTCAGTTAGAAATTCCCTTCGGTCTTTGAATATTTTCAATTATTGGAACACAGCTAATGACAAAGTCGAATTGGTTAGTTTTGTGGAATAAGAAAGTTGTAAACATCAACGATGCCCTGTTAGCAAATAGTATAAAAGCTAAAACCATTTAAGCCAGTGTTTCAGCAGGCAATTTTGGCAGCTTGACATTGTGACTGGCTAGCATTTCAAATACCAGTCACGTGATCACACTTTTCACTGTGCACGAGACCTTGCACCCTAACACCCAATCAGAAATGTAGAGGGTATTGCAATGCGTCAATGCAGCCTTTTTTAGCCTGGGGTTTTCCAAAACTACTATTTTTTATTTGACAATACCTCGATGTCATTGTGAAAACATAATCTTTTTCGAGGAGAAATAAAAGTGACAGAGGTAATTAGAAAATCGATTTTAAAATTTACCGGACATGATGCCTGACAGCCTTTGAAATTACCGGACAATCTAACGTGTACCTGTCAAAGTCTGTTATATACCAGATAACTGAAACACTCATTTAAGCATCACTGCTGGCATTGTCAGAATCATTATTGTAGTCTAATTATATCCTCAGATGACATATTTCCTGGAAACACAATGTTTTTCTCCACTATTTAATTTGTACAAAAGATTAAAAGTAAGGATATAATTGTCCATGGTCTGTTCCAGAGGTACTACTTCTTCAAACGTCCACGACTACAACAGCCCCCAGAGGACCTAGAGCACACCCGGTACGCCCACTCGTACGTCAACTTCCTGTCCAAGGCAGTATTCTGGTGGGTGACCGACCTCATGGTGGAAGGCTACAAACATCCGCTGCAGTTTGAAGATCTGGGACGGGTGCCAGAGGTAACATCACAGTATGCAAAATTTATACTGGTCCTGTGGTCCCTGGCTAGTAAAAATTCATCAGGACCTCTAGTGTTGGAAATTGGTTAAAATCTCATAATTGATGATTGGTTCATTACTACCGATCAATCACCGAAAATAATTGGTTAGCGTCATTTATGAAATTTGTTAATGCACATAAAAATAAGGAAAAAAAACGTAGTTCTTTTGGGGTTTTGGGGCAAAATTTCATATCTTTAAAGGATGACTAGTATGTTAGGAACATAAATTTCTTGGAATCTTTAAGATAAATTCAATCATGACTTGAAACGAGCTTGTTGTGCTTACGAAATATAACAGACAAAACCAACCATGTGAAAAATATTGTTAATGAAAACATGTGTTCCAGAATTGTTTGTGTTCGATTATGAGAAAACATGATCGATTGCTTGGTCGTTTAGTCACTACGACCAATCTTTGATTATTTCAATTAATCGGACCACCACTAAGGACCACTAAATGATAAGTTGGCTGTGGCCGGCGAATTTTGTATTGATAAGTTAAGTAAATCTACGAATGTTACTTTGGACCAGTGAAGTACTGACAGGACCACTGATTATTGTCCACTAACTGGTCCTGTGGTCTAGTGGGAAATTTTGAAAGGTTTCTTTCCCTGCATCAATAGCAATAGGTGGTAGAGGTGTAGCGATATGGTGGGGTTGCAGTACGAGATGTATCCCACTACTGTGAACCTGATATGATGGGTATCCTGGTACAATTGTTGTTGTTTTTTGCATAAGTTGATGTGTATTCATTTGTGGGATGAATTACAATCTGAATCATTGGTTTTTCAATCTCAGTGATTGATGATTGACTGTTGTAAGGCAAAAATGTAGAGGCAAGAGGGTAATCAGATCGTAAATGTTATGTTATTGATAGAGTGTGAGTGAGTGAGTGAGTGAGTGAGTTTGGTTTTATGCCACTTTTAGCAATATTCCAGCAATATCACGGTGGAGGACACCAGAAATGGGCTTTACACATTGTACCCATGTGGAGAATCGAACCCAGGTCTTTGGTGTGGCGAGCGAATACTTTAATGACTAGGCTACCACTCCTCCCTCCTGTTATGGAACAGGTTGTTATATTAGTCTCATGTTTTTACAGTATAGTTTGTGATGTATCGTACGTTTCTTTGAAGCACTGTATCATTTGAGCTTCATATTTAGTATGCAATACTTGATTGTTACATTACTTGAAGTAACCTATTTGCTCCATACCATGAATCCGATCTCAAGTTGCGCCATTCTGATTGATTTCTGTCTGTGGTTCAGCTGCTGTGATCAATCAGCTTGTGTTTAACTTGCTTGACTGGTTAATTAAGACTTGGCCTAACAGCATTGTGCAATTTCCTTGAGAAGTTTCTTTAGTAAGTACAGGCTTCTAGGTGAGAACAAGTCCTCAGGCCTAAAAAAAAAGCTTGTGGTTCGAATTCCCGACCGACCCTAAATATTCCCGCCGAGCCTAATAAATTTACTCACCACATAATAAATTAAATTTATTTTCTGACACATGAGTAATGTAAAAATATTTTGCAAAAAAAACAAAAGCCACAACCACAACATTATTTTTTTTTGACCTCACCAACCTGTGCTGGCCATTAAGGAAACTTGATGGGTTTGGTGCTCACTGTCGGCGATCTGGTTGGCTGGTTGGTTGGTTGGTTGGTTGGTTGTGTGCCCAGCAATAATCCAGCTATATGGCAGCGGTCTGTAAATAAGCGGGACTGAACCAGTCAATCCAGTGATCAACACCATGATCATTGATCTACACAATTGGGAACCGATGACACGTGTCAACCAAGTCAGCGAGCCTGACCATCCGATCCCTTTTGTCGCCTGTTATGACACTCATGGGTTACTGAAGACCTATTCTAACCCAGATCTTCATGGATTTCACCCTGATGGAGTGGATGTCATTTTCATCCAAATCGAGTATGATATTTTCATGTTTTTCAGTGTACGTAGGGCTTAAATGGATTGCATTGAATTGGCATCATGGACTCTCACTGACAAAACCTGCAAATGAATAACCTGCATAATGATTTGATATAGAAATCTTCCAATGTCTCGTCACAAGGCATTGTCACAACATGATATGGTATTCTTGAAGACATTCTCAGCTGCCCACCTGGTGCTCCTGAAAACATCTTTAAAAAAAAGTAATAAAAAAAAGATAAAATCGACCCACCTACCCTATTTTTAAAAAGCATGTAATAGGAAACAGACATATATTTTTGGGGGGCCTTAGTAATTGTAATCATTTGATTGTCGGGTCCAGACTTTATTCTATGACATCTACAAATTCTTGGAAATCTGTCCTTCCACAGGCATGTGGAGTGGCCAATCATGAGGACGTTACTTCTGGATACAGTGGTGGTGGGTCACCTGTGTTTAGGTTTGTCACCGACAATGCTTGTGGGTTTCACAATAGCTGTAGACCTCTCAGACCTGCATCAGGTCAGACTGTTCTCCAACATCAAGCTGACACACCATGACACATCATGACACATGACACTATGACATATCATGACACATCAAGACACCATGACATATCATGACTGACTGACTGAGTTTAGTTTTACGCCCCTTTTAGCAATATTCCAGCAATATCACGGCGGGGGACACCAGAAATGGGCTTCACACATTGTGCCCATGTAGGGAATCGAACCCGGGTCTTCGGCGTGACGAGCCAACGCTTTAACCACTAGGTTCCCCCACTGCCCCGACATATCATGACACACCAGGACACATCATGACACACCGTAACACATCATGACACATGGCACACTATGACACATCATGACATACCATGGCACACCATGACAAACCATGACACATCATGACATCATGACACATCATGACACACCAGGACACATCATGACACACCATGATAACTGGAATACTGTTAACAGTGATGTTGGCTCGTAACTTTGCTAGCCCGCTGGTCAGTAGGAATTTGAAATTATGTCACACACTGGTAGGGGCAGGACTAAAATTGTGAGGCACTCTCAGGAGTCAAACTGCCGGAGGGGCGGTGGGGTAGCCTAGCAGTTAAAGTGTTCGTTCATCATGCCGAAGACCCAGGTTTGGTTCCACACATGGGTACAATGTGTGAAGCCCATTTCTGGTGTCCCCCCACTATGATATTGATATTGCTGGAATATTGCTAAAAGCAGTGTAAAACTAGACACACTCACTCCTGGACAAGGTCATCAAGACAAGACAAGACAAGATTTTTATTAGGTCAAAGACCAATACAATATATATATATATATTGAATATTTGCCTGTGCACATGGCGATGTACGTATATAAAGAGAGCAATCACATTGTTATTATCATTATAGCCCAAGAGTGAGGATATGTATGGACGATTTACAAAAATTCAACTTTGTTTCTTTCATTTAAGATATGATAAATACACTTTGCAGCTTTCAGTACTTCAAAACTGTTTTCACCTTTTAACAATTTGATAAACTTAAACATGCTTATATTTTCCAATGAAGTATTACTTAAATGCTGTTTACGTATTTCTCGATATTTTGGACAAATCAAGAGTACGTGGTACTCATCTTCTATTTCGTTAGTACAAAAGGGACATAATCTATCGGCAAATGGGATTTTAGGCACACTCCATCTTCCTTTTTCAATCATAAGCATATGTGAACTAAGTCGGAAAGCGTGTAAACGCAATTCGGTACTTCCTAACATCAATATTAGTTAAATATTTCTCGATGCACAGAGTTTCCTTAATATGAAGATACAATCTAGTTTCACTTAAAGTTGATAATTGATGTTTCCACATTTGAGAATAAACGCCCTTAACCCTTTGTGTAAATTCTCTCACAAAATCACAACTTTCAGGAACATATTGGGCAACCCAAATATAGCCAAAACCAAACCTGAAGAGCGTGATCTCTCAGTAAACTTGCCCAGTTTTCAACATCAGGGTTCTCATTTGAACTATTCAATAATGAATTATACATCAAAACTATATATCTATCTGGTTTACTTCTCAAAATCTTAAGCCAATATTTGATAATCCTGACAAGACGAATAACTTTCAAAGGAATGTACCCAATTCTCCATATAAGAAAGTTGATGGAGTTGACATTTTGACATATAATATGTGTTTCATAAATTTCAAGTGTACCCTTTCAATAGCATTAGCTTCCATAAAGCCCCAAACTTCGCAACCATATGAGAGAATCGGAGAAACAACTGATTGGAATAACTGATACTGAATATCTGGAGTAATGTACACATTATCATTGAATATATTGTACAATGAACCAAGTACCTTCAAACCTTGTTCTGATAAGATTTTCTGAGCTTGTGAAAAACTGCCACCTGTTGAAAATATTAAACCAAGATATTTAAAATTATTGATTACCTCAAGAGGTGAACCATTATAGGACCATTTTTCAGCCTTGCCTTGTCTACCCCCTTTTCGAAAAATAACAACCTTAGTTTTTTCGGTATTTATGGTCAAGCCCCATTTCGTGCAGTAAGTAAACATCATATCCAAACCGTCTTGTAAACCTTTAACACTATTGCTAAAGAGCATCCACTCGCTACAACCGACATTGTCCAGTTTCACCTAGTTTGTGACCTATGTTCTGTACTCACAATACAGGTCACCTTTATCAGATTGTGATTCAGTATTGACGCCAGGATCGTCAGACGTATGCCAATCAAGTCCCAATTTTTGACCAGTCACTCTTGATGTACAAGACAGCGTGTGAACATCACACCAGTGAACATGGTGAAGGAATGCAGAAACTGATTATTTGTAAACTTATCCTATCTCACGACTTGCACCTCTCTCTCTTGCTTCGACTTTTAGTGGAACGACTGTAAACCTTTTTCCATAGGCCTCCTTGTCCATTCGCCAGTGCACTCCATGCTGCTGTCCTTAATTAGCTTCCTAGTTCCTAATAAAGCTTGCTGCATGCTCCACTAA